TGTTGATAACAAGTTTAAATTACACTGAAAAGAATATAACCACAAACCACTTTGTTATTGCTCCCAATTTTATCATCAGAGATGACTCAAGATCATAAAGACACATTTCTATATCATCAAAATAACCATGCTCTCAAATATTGTTCACAATATCGCTGGAAAAAATCTGTGATCGTGGAACACTCTCTGTCTTCCTTTGCCAGAGATATGATTAGTTGCACAGGTGTGCCTGTAGGACTGGCCACAGAAATAAAAAGCACTCTGAAACACGATATGACATCTTTTGCTTATTTGGGGGTCTGGGGGGGTCCTCCGAAAACCAGTCAGTATTGAGTGTGAGGGTTAGGCGTTAGAGTTTTGATACCTGTCAACGGGAAGCCAGCCGATAGGATTGAAATGCACTCTACCATCGTTGTCACATTATCAATGGCATGTTCTCTACTCATTCACCCATGGAAACACTGTGGTCGATACTGCTTCCATAGCCTCTCACAATCTACGTCCATGGGCCACAGACCATTCCTGGAGTTGGACTCCAGACCGCTGCTTGAACGGATTGCCAATCCATGGAGCAGCAGAAGTGAGTAAATAGAGGGAGTAAGTGTGTTTTATTCTTCTCAAAAGTTATATCTAATCAATGTGAAGTGAATCGTATACAAATGGCTGTTACCAGTTTACAAACCCACATACGGTATCACAACGTTTACATGTAAAGAAATGTATAGCACAGTTTTAGATTGAGCGTGCCAAAGATACATTTGTTATAACAATCTGTTGATAGTATTTAGACGCGAAAAATCCAGTTAGCTTGCTGTGTAATACAAATCTCCTGTGACCCCTGGATTGTTGGGTCAGCATGGGTTGTATCTTTGCTGATTGAACAAGAGTAGACTGCCAGGTTTCTAGGTATTTTCTAAATGACACCATCGCAATTATACTGAATGGTCGGGTGTACAGGAATGTCACGTTTTTCCTATAATGTTCTGAAAGTTGGATTTTCAATAGACTTTGACTAGTTTTAACAGCTGACCTGCGAAATGATGGATAGTGACAAGAGCAATTTGGAGCGAGACCAAAATGGGTTTCGTCTAGTTAAACGATCATACAACATATATTAGAAAATAAATGAGTGGATATACCGCTCTAGAGATCGATGCCATCCAAAAGCGTTCGGATAGCCATTTGGAATCTTCTCTGTTAACTTGCATATTCGTGGACTCAGCTGATGATTATAACCATCCGCATAAGTGTGATTAGGATGGCTGGCCTGATCTGTGGAAGGGCATGAGTGTCTAGATACTCGTTAAAAAATACTTTAGCATCCCAACTGTGTGTTGTTCTTTATCGAAATTAATTCCATTTGAATGTGTAGGTGTCCAGGAAATCCACTGAGGTGTAGCTGGTGATGGAATTTAGGAAAGACTATTTGTGTTGTAGCAGTTATTCAGGGTAGTGACAAACGATCCACTCCTTTGAGTGACCACCACAGCCCCAGATGAATCATCCAGTATATCTGAAAATCATATGTGGTGATCTTTAGGCAGGAGGACAGAGCAGAGTTCCACAATCTGCCATAAAAAATGTTGAGCATAGGCTGGAGCGAACCTTCTTTCCCATAGCAGGACAAACAAATGGTTATATACAGCAGGAACGAACTCTCATTAACTTCAAAATCATTACGTGTCAAATTAATCTCCAATAATTGTAATAATTCCTTGTCTGGTCTTTTTTGATCAGGGTGTTTACGGAATATGTTTTTTTTTTTTTAGGGTTAGGGTAATGTTGTGAATCGAGTGGCCTGTGTTCATCGTCCATAACATCTTGATATGCCACACCTGTGAGGTGGGATGGATTATCTCGGCAAAGGAGAAGTGCTCACTATCACAGATTTCTTCAGATTTGTGAACAATATTTGAGAGAAATGGTTATTTCGTGTATGTAGAAAATGTTTTAGATCTTTGAGTTGATCTCATGAAAAATGGGAGCAAAAACAAAAGTGTTGCGTTTATATTTTTGTTCAGTGTATATAAATACTGATCAGATATCCACCAGATCTTTTAGGGATTTTTGTGTCTCTTGGAGAAATTCAATTGCAACATCAAATATAAAAGTTAATCTGAAACAAACTCAAATACCATAATGAAATTAATCCACAAATTATGATTGTTATTATAACTTAAATGTTATACCTGGAAACACAAATACAAAACCGAAAATAAGAAATGTAATATGCTCGGTTTTTGTCCTGGATGGCAGATTACGTCACTTCTGCCGCCTAAAACCCAGGAGGGGATCTAACCGCTGCTGCACTAGCTAACGCTACATTAGCAAAACAAACGCTACTTTTTTTTTTGCAAAAGGTGCAGCGGGCTTCAAACATGTTCCCCTCAACTGGTTTCAACCAAGCACTAAATTCGATGTTTTCCACCCAAATATGGTTGAACATTCCTCATATTTGTTTGTAAATAGATTCGAAGATACCTTAGTTTCTGACTGCCGCTAGCTTGGTTGCTAGGTTACTAGCTGGGTGTTTTCCGATAAGGGGCCGGGGGGAACAAAATGAGTGATTACTGGTTCCATGTTGATTTAATTCAATACAATTGTTGGGGGGAACTGAAAGGCTTTTACCGTACAGGTTACTTTGCAGCCAGGACATTTCCCCCAAAACACATTTAGACGCGATCGCTACACAGAAGTACCTTTCAAATCCGATCAGTTTTAAGACCTTCTAAATCACATTTAAGACCCTTCTTTTTTTTTTTAATCAAATGTAAGACTTTTTAAGACCCCGCGGGAACCCTGGTTATACATTACTCAATACGCTGCAGAAAGAATATCCTGTATGCAGAGACACACTTTGAGAAGTGTTTATGGTAGAGAGTTAAAGAGACAGCGTACCTGCTCCACTTGGTCAAGACGTTTCCGTAAGTTCTCGTTGAGATACGTTTCCACTCTGGTCATTATGCCCTCCAGCTTAATCCTCTCATTCAACAACTGTCTGTTGTCCTGTGGGGGGGTAGATGGGAGAACAAACAAAATACAAAAATAGTTACTCTTTGCCAAGTGCAGACAAACAAGATGTTAGTCAAATATCAGCAGCTCACAATCTTAGTTTTCTCTTGCTCTGTGAAACACAGTATTTTTACAGTGTTGTTTTAGTACTTCTACATAACTAAAAGACCTACATATTTCTTCCACCATTGCATATATCATGAGGATACTCATACATACATTTTTGCCCAAAAAGTACACAAACACCTTAGGTTGTGCAACAACTTTAGCCTAGACAAATGCTCTATCAACAATGCCTCCCAACATAGTGTTATGTTGCGAGCAATATAATTTGACAACAGCGATTAGTGTAAAAGCAAACATGAAAGGCTCCATGCTGCGGGGGCGCAGTTGTTGTGCAACTAAAGGGAGACTGGCTGAGGTTCGCTGAGGGGAGAGCTGAGAACAGCTGGCAGTAAGAGAGAGAGAGAGAGGGGGGGGGGACGCTGGATAACAGGACCCTCCCACACACAGATGCTGTCTGCCCCTCTCACCTCACTCAGGTCATGTGAACACAGGCAGGAGGCGGAGTAGGAGAGGACTGAGGAACACCTACATGTAGGTAACCTGCGTTTTCTCCGAACGACATATAGGCACAGATGTGCAGTGTTTCCCCTAGGATGGAGTCATAGCAGCGGTACTAAGGCACGTGGGCCCAGCATAATGTGAGCGCGGAGCGCGTGGAATCTTTTAGTATGTGCGCGTGCGAAGTGCGCCCCGGCAATTTGTTTCTATGTGTCAGCACAAGAAAGGCTCTTGAGGCCTAGTACCAGGGCCGGTTCTAGACAATTTGCTGCCCAAGGTGAGATTTTAGGCGACATTTTATGTGTAAAGAATAAATGAAAAATCTCTACAAAAGACAAATACACTTCAAAAAAAGAAACTTATTGACATCCACATAACAAAACAATCAAAAAGAAAAAAGGGTCGCACATTATTATTTTTTTTTGGGTACCTGGCTGGCGCCCCCTAGCAGCGGCGCTCATATTCCAGCAGCGGCGTGCGCCGCCACTATTTGTATATAGGGGAAACACTGGATGTGTGTGCATCAGCCTTTTCAGCATAACAGTGCTGTTCTATAGCTCACTGATCTAAATGATCGCCGAGTCTATCTTATAATAAAATATAATATAACTAATAATTATATACTCATTATATACTTGAGAAGCATATTTTATTCTTTTGAGTTTGCTTCACAACATTTTCTTAAATGTCCACATTACAAGGCAAAACCAGAGACAGAAATCCATGTAGTCCTCTGTAGTGCTGCCGCTGACCTGCTGAAGCTGGCGGATCTCGTCGTTGAGGTCATCGACGCGCCTCTGGTCGTCCAGGCTGAGCTGAGAGAGCAGGTCTGTGCCGAGCTCGGCCTTCAGTGACTCCCTGGTGGACTCCATGGCGTGGAGGCTGGCCTCCAGACTCTGCAGGCTGCGTTGCTACAGAGGAAGAAAGAGTCGCACATCAGTGGAGAACACAGACAGTCACGAGGTCTTAATCACCTTTAACTCTGGGCTTGTATGCAGGTTTAAACTAAAATATTGTAACAACTTCATTATATGATCACCTTGGGCATGAAGGTCTTCTCTGACTGCTGCCTCTTCTCCTTCAGCATCTTCATCTCAGACAGAATACTGTCTCTGGACGCCTTAAACTTCCTCTGCTGAGTCTCGATCTGCTGCATCTGGTTCATCAGCTGGTCAATCTCATTGTTGATACGTGAAGGCAGCGATTAAGGAAGTATAAGCCAATGTTTAACCTTGTATTTATTCTAAGTATAGTTTTTCCAACTTTATGTGAGCCAATGTCTACAGACAACAGCTGCTAAAATCACCTGTGTTGCAAAGCCTAGAAGTGTGAGTTGAGTCAATTATAGTTGTATAACCCATATCACAATCCGTCTCAAGAGACTCTACAACCTTCCCGACATTATAAGAAAAGAAAAAACTCCTTAAAACAACTGAATGGAAAACATTTAAAAAACGTTTCAGGAACACTTTGTTGTATTTAGACAAGAGAAACATTATAAAATAAAATCACATTATAGAAAACAAAACATATAATTCTAAATATGTGTGAAAAATTTGGCACTTTTCCACTGTCTTTTCGAAGACTTGCACTGCTCAAACAGTACTTGCTTCAGGAATAATGCATTATAAACTAAAGAAAGAACAAAAAACTACAACAAAGAGATGTTTTGTAGTCATTGGAGAATATATGGTAACATGGCAGCTAGCTTGTAGGCTTTTTAGTGCTCCGATAACTCGATTTACCTTCAGACGGGAGACTGTGACCGTTGATGTCAAGGCAGAGGATTAAGAACGTCACTTCATTATTCTAATTGACCAGACAGGCTCATCGATCGCTGGCACTACATTATGGGCCTTTAGGTTTAACAGGACTCAATAAACACTGAGGCTTAGGCTAAGGAACTACTGAAAGAGCTGCCCAGAGAAGATGAAAGGTAATAGATGCTTTAAGGTCATCCGATCACGTTCGTGAATGAGAACAGCTGAAATCAGGTCACTAATCCACCTGAATTCATTTAGGTATTTATAAATAAAGGAAAAAAAGGCATTCATCTCTGGGATGACCACTTCAACTGTCATGAATAACTTATAAAACAGGTTTATTTCAAATAATCCATTTGATAAGAGTTATGAGCACTCGGCTATGTGGGCCTGAAGGAACAACGAAAGAACAACCTTGAAAAGGGGGATTAGCGAGAGGTGCATCAGCGTACTCTCATGCGTATCGACAGAGCAGAGGTGGGGATGTAAACAACAAGCAGCTTTTAAATAATTGATCTGTTCTCTGACTCACCGCTGCAGGAGTGAAGGACTAGCGCCATGCCATGGTCTCAGTCATCCACTGCCTACTCACACACATACGTAATCCCCAGGTGCGCACATTAACATGTACGCAGTGCTGTCTGCGGGTGAGAAACTACACAGGTGTTCACACACACACATAATCATACCAGGGCGGAAGTGACCATATCCATAAGCATAGGGTACATGCAGAACTAAATCCCCTCTGATCCGCCTGTTTTTGCTTTTTATCGGCCCTCCAGAAGTGAGTCATGGCTCTGGCCGATATGTCCCGACTTACACTAATCCCTCTTGACCTCTCTAACCCTGCTCTCGCTGCACCAGGCTCCTGCTAACAGAAGTTGCTACACAACAGAGATGGATTAAATCCACATTTAAAAATAGAGGCTTGCACTAATTCAGTGAAGAATGCACTAAGGGGTGTTGTACATTATTTCAAAAGAGCTCTTAAAAGGCTCCGATAAGCTGCAGAGGTACATATATATTAAAACATCTTTATAACCAGAAGATGACTGCGTGAAGGATGCTTTTTTAAAGACAGATATATATATTTTTAACACACTTGGTATATATTGACTGTTCACGACTATGATACTTCCTCTTCCATTTCTCCAAGGCCAATATCACACGTGCCTACGGTTTATCACGCCTTTTATTTCTGTGTGTTCCAGACACCATCAAGCTAAAGCTGGCCTTTTACTGCATGTTGTCCTTAAAATAAACTTAAAAACATAACGCTCTGATCTTGCTGCTGGCATTAATGATGTAACATAATGTGGACGAGCTATAATTGAAAGGATATGTTCGATGTTCCGGCGCAGGTTCTCGTTGAGCTTGGCCTCCAGCTCCCCCAGCTCCTCCTCGGCCTTCCTCATGTCTTTCTGCAGCTCCAGGCGAGACTTCCTGGTGTCGTAGTAGCCTCCGGTCAGAGCTCCGCGGTGACTCACCTGGTCACCTGGAAGGTCGCAACACAATGTACAACATATAAGAGATGGACTAGAGCACTGAAAATACAAGGTCTTGTCAGTGTAGCAAAGGCAAGTCAAATGTCTTGATTATGGGAATTTTTAAATCTGTGTGTAAGAATATAATGATTGATGCATTGAATTGAACATGGAGTTTGATTCAGACCGGGTCGAAAGCTCATACTTGTTCTATAGGCTGTATTTGCACATGTGGCTTTTGGAGAGGAGGTTTTACAGAATAGGATTGGCCCATTACGGAGTACAAACAGAAGTATTAGCTACGTTTTTTGACATATTACTGATACCCAAAGTTACAAAATCCCAAGGTAATAACTCTTTCGTGCTAATGCCTACCTATATCTTTTAACAGTTTATTGCAGATAGAGACCATTTCTTTTAGAGATGCCATCTTACTTATATGCTTGAAGTACTGTGTATCGCATGTCAGCTTACCCTCCAGAGTGATACAGTCCATGGTGAAGGCTCTGGCCAGCTGGGTGGAGACTTCCATGCTGCGACAGATCAGAGTCTTCCCGAACACGTGCTTGAAGGCCTTGTCGAAGGTGTTGCTGTAGCGCAGCTTGCTGATCATGGGAATGGCATCCTTATGGGGCAGAAACACGTTGGTATGAACACAGTGGCAGATACCACACGCCACGTCTTGTTTCACCTTCAGTTGGCAAATATTTAACATACATGACTGCTGTATCTTTAACCATGATTGTTTAATTGTGAATATTTTCTGTCACGGTCCAAATTGCCTGCCTACAGTCGCAGATGTAACTTTGATAGGTTCTTACGTTTGTCTCTGGGTAGGCGGTGTCCCTGACGTCCAGCTTGGTCAGGGGCAGGAATGTGACTTCTCCAGGCAGGTTCATTTTGTTGAACTCCATCAGTATTTTGGTGCTGACCTCGTCAGTCTCCACAATGTGATAAAACAGTCTGGAAAACAAGAGAGCACGTAGAAGGCCATCTAAGACTAAAACTAAAAATCAAGGCTGCATCGTTGTAAACCATCAACAAATCTCTGCGGAAGCATTCAATGTACAAAATATACAAAAACAGAGCTTATGATGAGTACACTTTGTTTGATGGGGATACTTATTACTGGAAATAACATAATGAGCAAGCCATTAAAAAGTAGTTAACCTGACTCACCTGGTTCCAGCTGTCACCTCGACACAGGTATAAAAGGCGGGCTCACACTCAAAGTTATTCATGACGATGCCATGGTAACCACTGATGACATGCTGGTTGATACCCTTACGACGGAAATGCTCAAGGACTTTGTTGATGCTGTCACTGCCGTTCAGAATAGACTGGAGGAGCAGAGGGGAAGGAGAGAGACAATGAACTCTAAATAACCTTAACAATAATATATAAAACATATTGAATTGATATCCATGTTAAAATGAACACAATATAAAAACCTATTTTAAATGTTCTCATTACAACTGCAGCCATGATCTCTTCTCTAGAGAAAAACATGTATAACAGATTTCACACTGTGCTGCATTCTGGGAATAATTCAAATATACCTGAGCTCAAAAACAGAAAGAGATCTCTGTATTTCCCTAATATTGTGCTTCATTATTAACTGTACAGTATAACATAACAGGTAAAAAACAAGAATGGATAGAGTCCGTTCTGTTCCGAGAGGATGAATCAGCCGGGTCGATGAAAGCAAAATGAACGCAGGACATTTGTCCATGAAGCTACAAACCATTCATCTCTGCAGACATTAGTTAGAAGTGATATTTGATTGATGCATGTGCCCAGAAGAAACGACCGGCAGTTACTGGATGCGGCAGCAGGGAGTGAGTCATGTGTGGATTTAGATAGCTATGATAAGGTGCCATTGGCGGGGCAGATGAATGATTCCACTTGATAAACCTGTCCTGACAACTGGCTGATTCACAAAGTGAGTCCTCTGCTGTGTTCAGGTGGGCTCAAACAGAGAGAGGCACTTTCTCACTTGGGGTTTGATTTAGTTTTATTTCCACATTTCCTCTCTTGCAGTATTCTGGCTGGTAAGCAAATGTATGATGGTTTAATAATATGTGTGGCGTGACAGGTCTACATCTGACAAGTATTGCCTTCCTGAAAAAGGCAGGTAAGTGTGTGTCCTATTATTTATTTACCATGTGTCTTACATTTGAATCCTCTGATAAGTATTGTCCACTTTGCTGTTCTCTTTCTCACACAGAGACATCAGGAACCCTGTAGCTGCTTAAGCAAGTCAATAATCATGCAGCCTCGTGCAGACACGGTACCTTGCCGGTGGCCGCTCGGAGGAGCTGCTGCTTCTTCTCCAGCTCTTCTCGTTTGGCGGCCAGGGCCTGCTGCTCTGCGTTCTCCTCCCGCCACAGGTAGCTGGACAGACAGACGTCACACACGGTTACACTTGTGTCACAAGACCCAAAACTCAATGCCGCCATGGTACCAACAGAAGAGAAAGGCAGTCCGTGATAAAAACACTTACAAATATGACACTGTAGGTAAAAATAAGGACATCTTTTTATGTAAATAATAATAATGTAGATTTGTTACATGCATGTATGCAGTATAAAGTGAAATATTAGGTGCCTTATTACAGCTAAATAATCACATTTAAATAATTAAAAACAAAACAAATGCCAAAAACATTCCCCTCTTGTTTTTATTACGGTAATGCTTTTGTCATTTGTTGATATTTTTGAGATGAGGCTTGCAGCTGTGGGTTCTGCATGTTGTGATATCAAAGCGGTCATTATGCTGCCTTTTCACCGGCACACCTACACAATGGATCACAGCGAACTGGAGAGTGAATTCAAAATGAGACAAACACAAACATATTCATGAAATATGTTTCATTTGCTACTGAGCACCTGTTATTTGTTTATTGAATTTTTTTTTTTTTTTTTTTTAAAAAAGGTCCAAATATATGTTTTTAAACTTAAATTAAAAAACACATTTTTCCTTGAGCGTGTCGTCTAAACCAGCGGTTTTCAAAGTGTGAGGCCCCCCTTCCCTGGGGGGGGGCGCCAGAGAGCTTCAAGGGAGGCGCAGCGTGAGAAAGAAATAACGAGAAAAAGACGAGTAAAGTGTCTCTTGCACACGTTTGGCTGTCTGTAGAGACCGAGTTCCCCCACCTCACCAAAAAGGCTGTAAAAGTGCTCATTCCCTTCAGCTCCACCCAGGGGCGGACTGCCATCTGTGTGTTCTGGAGAATCACAGAACGGCCGGTCGTTCGCGGGCCGTTGATGGCCGGCTCGGTTTGCTGACGGCCGGCACCGCCCTTTATTTTTTATGTTTTTAAAAAAGGCATCATTTAAGTTGCGCTGCCAGGCGACAGAGGTCCGTTTCCACGCAGCGAGGCT